CTGTAGGTGGGGAGTTGAAGTATTCACTCAGTGTAAGTTCAGCCCTAAAACAATCAAACATCAGTCTTGAGGAAAGCAAAACCACGTCTGAGCCGAGATGTTGCTACAGTTACTCTGACTTAAAGTAATCTGTGTGAAGCCTGAGCACAGTCACTGTTTGTTTTGATGTTAAAGGTTCTGGCTGTGCCACAGACTCAGGGCATGAGAAGCTGAGCCTGGAGAGGGTGGAGTGAGGGAGACAAGGAGTGTCAAGGACACTGTGAGAGCAACAGAGCAGTCTCCGCTCTGACTGACTCATACGGGGTCAGACTTTTGAATCTCGATATTAAATCTACTGACAATCCTCCCAAATGACCACAGCTGGTTTGCATCCACACCGAAGAGGCAATGAGAATAAGATTTAAAAAGGAGGAGGGATATTTGGTCGGGCCCACAAATTAGATCTGAACATATAAACCATGAGTCATGGGGCATCAAATGCTCTCTGTCTTCCTCTCCTTGGATTCAATGTCACCCCCCCCCCTTTCACTCCTCTTTTCTTCCTGTGCTCTTTTAATAACTTGAATAAGGCCTTTTGTCTCCGTAAGTAACTTAACTGTCACGATGGACGCATTAAATTGTTGTTTACTGATGTCAATAATTCAGTGTGTTAGAGGTTACCAGATTAGAGGTTGAGTTCCAACACTTTGTCAGTCCTGCTCAAAAACAAATCCATTTATGGGACTTAAAGAAATAATCAGAAATTTTGCAAAATGTGCTCATCCACTTTCTTGTTGAGACCTAGAAGAGAAGATCAATACCAAGCCTAAGTGACAGTGCGCATAGACTAATATATTTTGCTGCCATTTGTAGGAAATAAATTCCTGATAAGTCAAAAGTGGCTGTCGGCATCATTACTGCAGAAACAGACCAGGGGCTGATTCATCATGTCAAGCTGTCTCAAAAATGCGAACAGCCCGAGAAACTCATTCTCACCACTTCCAAGAGCCTGTTATAAGAGTGAATGAGCATTTGACTGACAGACAAGCTGCACAAATGTGGGATTTATGTTACGCCTTTAAGGAAGTCAATCATGTTTCACTTACAAGGGAAAAGATTTCAAGGACAAGCGTTATATTCTCCTTGGACTAACACTGTCATGATGAAACTTTGCCAACAGAGCTCTTCCGTTTTCATCAACACATCTTTTTCTAAAAACGGGTATCAGAGAAGGGGTTAGTCTTACTATCCGGACATTCTTATATTCAGGCCAATATGGTAAAGAACCTCTGTATTTGGGCTTTGTTGCCTTTGGACAGAGCCAGGCCAGCTGTTAGCAGTCTTTATGCTAAGCTAAGCTAATTGGCTCCTGGCTATAGCTTCATATTAAATCGTACAGACATGAGATAGTCATCGATCTTTTCATAAGTCTCAGCAAGAGAGCGAATAAGCGTGTTTCGCACAAACGTCGAACACATTTTTTTTCTATTCACTTCCTCGTACCGATTTCACTTTCAGCAGAATCTCAGCCAGGAGACTTCATTAACTGAATATCTAGTAAAAGAAAGTGCAACCTCCGGGCTACGTCTTCATTTTGGCCCAGTACTTTTTCCTATTCTGTCAGCACTCCTGGGGAAAGACTCCAGATTCTGGATGTCAAAGCACAATGTTTGATTGCAGATTAGGCGGGTATGTGTCTGTGTGTGTCCAAGTTTGTACATTTGTCATTTGGGATCAATGAATGGCAAAGTAACTGGGTTAGACCCTTCTTCCCATCTTTCTTCACTGAGGGAAGTTTTGCATTCGCTTATGGATCTGCTCGAGTAAAATGGATACAAATAATCCTCTTCTACTAGAGTATGTGTGTGTGTTATCTGTTGGTCTTCTCACTTGATGGTTAAAACTGAGAAAAAAGTATATTAAAAGTATCTGAGAGACCAACATCACAGCCCCTGTTGTCTCCACCATATATTCCTCCAATAAACCAAAAAGATGAGGGTCAGGGTTCTCAAACGCAGGAAGGGCAGCAGTTTTGAAAAAACCTTTGTGACATTTTCCAGTGGCCTTTCACATTGACAAGCGGGTCTTTGACTGCGTTCCCCCGAGATATAACATCCAACCAAAATACTCTACCCGGTCAGCCCAAACCTTATCTAATCTGGTCGCCTCTGCTATCTGGTCCCAAAGTTCAAGTTGATTTGTTGACCTTTTTCCTCCTCATCAATACAAAATGTATTATTGTTCTCCACGCTTCTCCATCTCCGATGACCTTTTTGAAATCGACTGTTTGAACAGAGACTGCATCTGGATAACTTGAACAGTATTTTGACTTATGAGTCCTCACAGACTTTTTATTTCCAGGAAAATGCATAAATCTGCAACAAAAAATCTTTCTACAAGTGAATGAAAACAAAGCCATTACAAACTAGGTCAGAAAGGAAAACCTTATATTTAGTTAAATAATAAAAAAATTAGTAAAACAATAATAAAACCTGCAAGTCTTTTATTGATCAGATACATTCAAACCTTGATTGACAGTGCTTGTGACTTTTCTTCTTAAAGTAAGAAGAGTTTTACACCAACATATCAGATGATTTTACCAGACATTTCCAACAGGTTATGCCCCCGTTGGTTGCTTTCATTCATTTATCTCTGGCTTTGGCAAAAATTTGATCATGTCAAGGCCTATATGACAGTTCACTAGAAAAGAAAATCCAGCTCCGACAGGTTCTCAGATTAACTGTAGCCTCGGAAAACATCCGTCTATCACAGAAGAATAGCAGGAATTATCATTAACCTTAAAGAACCCATGTCTGTTTGATGATGATATTGTCACTACATGTCGGCAGGTAACAATATATTGTTACTTCTCAGTACATTTGGCAAATATCTCTCAGGAAATGAAAAGTATTTCGATGCAATTTTCCCAGAGGCTTGAAAGGCACTGAATCACTTATGTAAATAACATCTGTAGGAATTAGGTGTATCAACGTCTCATTACGGTTAATAATTAAACAATTTTATAGACAACCACAGAGCGATTGTCATTCCCTCAGCCTGCAACAACTGAGATGGTTATCACACACAATGGGAAGTGTCTCGTGATCAGTGTTGAACCGCACACTGAGTAAATTAACATAACACAACTTCCCCCACACAGCTCTCCAATGCACCAGCTGTAAGCTCTTCCGCTCTGGCATTCAAAGTGTCTCTGAGGTGATAACCAAGATCCTTCAAAACCACTCATCCAACTTTAATCTCTGCTTGTCGGCTTGGCATCTCCAATTTTGCCATTTGTTTTCATTTTCCATTGACTAACCCGCAGGAATGGTGTGGCTCTAAAAATTGGAACAAACACACAATGATCTACTGTTTTTTCATCTGGGTTTGTTTTCTCTCGCCTGCACACACCACTGGGTCCGCACCACCATCAGTTCATGTTCGGCAAGCCGCGTCGCTTTGTTATGCTTGCCATCGGTTAAATGAGTGTGCAACACAACAAGTTCCTAAAAAACAGATGGCAAAGCTCACAGCTTTCCATGAAATCTATCAACCTTACATGAGAGGTAGCACTAAGGTCTGTTTGTGACTGATTAAGATGTCAATTGAATATTCCACAGGTCTTTGAATAAGGTACAAAAAGTAGCGATGGATTGAACTCAGAATGTGAAGCTTACAATAATGTGATTAAATGAGAAAAATATGTTATTTTAGCCTAGTGCACAAATGCTGTCCTTTACACAGATGAAGAATCCTCTGTAGATAATGATCTCTTTTTGCCCTACATCCTCCAACTTGTTTGATTTACGCTGAAAATGCTTGTGCTTTCTTTTTCTTTGCTTTAGTCATGAATGAATAATCCATTTAAAGGGCTATTTTCATCCCCTTTGAGTTTCATAGATAGTACAAAGAGGAGGGGGTGAGGAAAACAGCACAGAGAAGGTTATCACATTTCATAAATGTGATAAGCCTGAATCGAACTGGATGTCCGCAGTGCTCACTGTGCATCACAATCTGCATATCCAAAGAACACTGGCCCACATTCACCCTTTCCTCTGACTCCCAATATCCAAACTGAGACACTGAGCAAAAGCTGTGTTTGTTACACAACAGAAACCTGCTTAACAGGTTACATTACTTTACATAATATCCACCAAAAAAGCCCCTCACTGTAGGTTACCCAGTCCAGATCTAAAGCTTTTTGTCCTCTCTCTCTCTCTCTCTCTTTCTGAATACAAGGTCAGGTGTGCACGTTGCCAAATTCATTCAGGAGGAATTCACTCAGATCTGATAATGATCATGCGCATTTCACTTCTAGTAGCAGCTCTCTTTCTGTCTGAGTCTGGCGCGCGTGTGACAGAAACAGCTTGAGAGAGAGAGAGAGAGAGAGAGAGGTGGGTTGGGGGGGGGGTGTCAACGTTTAAAAACAGATGCAGAAGATGTACCTCCTTGTACTGGGTGTCCTGGGGGTGTACTGGGAATAATTGAAGGCTATTAACAGCAGAGATCATCACGTGCACGGATCACTACCTGCTCACTCGGAGGGGGGCTGGGCATGATGAGAGGCGTTTCCAGCTTCAGCAGCGCGTCGCTCTCAGACATTTCTTGCGCTGCCAGCTGTTGGGTTGAAGCACCGGCCGAGCGCAGTCAAGTCGATGACTGTACCAAGCGGCGTTGGATGCAGCGAACAATGACAGAGTCGCCTCATGTACTAAAAAGTAGCATCAGAGATGGACACATGATGTCGGGTATGGAGTAAGCTGAAATGATAGAAGCGCAGAGTAACTGAAACCACACGCCTACAACGACGAGGGACTGGTGCGCCTTGGCACCGGAGGGAAACAACAAACTTCTCAGCATCAATTTAGAGAAAAACAAAAGAAAAAAAGAAACAGCACCTTGTGAGACTGAGTATGTTTCCGGTGACTATTTTCTCTCACGTAAATGTATAATTACATTATAGTTTTAGGTGTGGAAAGCGTCCCTATTGTGCTCATTTTGCTCCCCCCCTGCCCGCCCGCCCCCCTAACCGCGCCAATGCTTGAATGGCTTGTAGCTCTGTGCATTGTGATCCTGGTGGTCTTACTCTGGCCAGGCTCCAAATATTTTGGCACCGAGAGCCCACCGGATGCTTTGCTTCAAGGACTGGGAATTTCACAGCATGCAGCGAAGGACAAGACCATTGGGTGCGTCTCAGACCGCGAGGAGAGCGACGGTTCCCAGACGGCCTGTGCCGATGAGAAAACACGCACCGTGGCACTGATCTGCAAACCATCCGCGCTGGCCAACTACCTCCTGAAACACTGCAGGACTTTCAGTAATTACTCGCCGTGTGCCGGCTGGACGTGGCGGTCCAGCGCCTTTCTCCAGAGTGTGTACGAGGCGTGCTGGCCGTATGACAGTCCGGTCCAGTTCGTGCGGGACAACCTGCAGCTGAGCGATGACGGGCTGGTGGCCTTGGACTGGGCAGTGCCATCCTACCAGAAACGACGCAGGACTTCCAGTCACTCCACCAGTCCGGTTCTTCTCATCATCCCAAACTCTTTTGGGAAAATCACTAGAAATGTGTTAAAGGTGCGTCCCTGGCTTCACTCATAGACTTCACTGCATGAAATTACTCTACTGTAGAGATGAAAGTAACCATAGACTAAGTCATTTTCACGCATAAACTGCACGGGAAACTAGCAAGTTTAAAATAAAATGTAATAGCAAATTCATATTTTCATATAGCTGACTGCTGAACAGAAAGGGTACCCCACCCTTAATAATACCAAAAAGATAAACTTCAAATATTCAACATAACCAATAGCCTAACTTATAAAAGGTTGGAAGTGGGAGTTCCCAGTGTGTGCTAACACTGTAATGCTTCTAAATCATTACAAAAAGGCATTTGTATCAAAGGCGAGGGACGCCTTCACTAGATGCATCTTAAGTTGTTTCATTCTGCTGCCTCTTACAACATAGAATCAACAGGATGAAAATTACAGCAGCCGCAAGTGAATGTCTTATTTTTCTTTGCTATACAGAAGCTATTTTTACACTTTAAAAAGGTAGAAGTGAGCATTTTCATAGCTGCAATACAAAGTGACAATAACAGAGCAAATCGATATCAACTTCAGAGGGTAGAAACCAGAAACATGCATGATACAAGCAAGTGTTTTAAAAGGAAATCTAGTCAAAGAGATATTCAATATTTTAAAAGGAGAAGATGCCAGTGTCAATCAACAATGGCCATTTAAGCTAAGGCAATCACTGGAGTTTAAGCTCAGGCGGAAGTAAAAAAAAAAAAAAAAAGAGCAGATGCAGAGGCAGCTTCACTCTTTCAACTGCTCTTTCAATACACTGACTGAGGTAATTGACTGAGGGATTACAAAGCATCGCTTGACTTCATGGCCCTGGGGAAGTGCAGCTCTGCTCCACATGAATGCCTGTTGGCTCTCGCATCACTCTGGGCACCTGGCATCGTGCTACAGCTCATTTCATTTCAAACTGTTAGCTCTGCGTGAAAATTTGTCACATGGCTAACTGTCAGCCCCATGTCAGAAATAACAACTCTGCAACAACTGGATACTCTCACAAAAAACCAAAAGGTGTATGATATTGATCTAGAAGGGAATCACTCCTTCTGTTGATAGTGGGTGACAGGAAGAGGAGGAAAAGTGGGTGAGACAAAAATAGGAGCATTACATCATTATGAATATGTGGTTACCTCAAGCTTTACCAGGGGTAAATGATGGAGAGATGAAAAGTAACCGTCACATTCAGACAGATCTGTGCCTCGGGCTTTCTTTTTTTGGGCCATCATCAGAGTAGAGAGTATTTGTGAAGCTGTCAGCTAGTCACGCTTGGGAGGGCTGGAAGCCGAGGCACCACAAGGGATATACACCAATTAAGATTGCTTCTGTCACTGGTGAGAGTCACTGTGCATAAACCAGTCTGTGTGCATGTGAGAAAGACAGAGATGAAAAGAGCTCATGTTTGCATACACACACACACACACACAAGCACACACATGGGTCTATATCTGTGACACAGAGAAGAAACAGAAGGAAATAGAGATTCTTTTTTGGAGTGTGTGGGCTTGTGCTCCCTGTCCCTCATCTCTTTGCACATTTCAGGAACTCATGAATTTATAAATGAGCCATCTCCTCTTTAATCACTCATATTTTTACACTGGGTTAGTGTGGGTTTTACACTATGTTTCATTTAGTCTGGCATGATTCGTATCAATTTCTGTAATGGTATACTGTATGTCGTATACAGGCTTTGCAGAATATACTTAAATTCATCACTTCATTCAGTCTTTCAGTCAGTTATTTAGTAGGTTAGTTTTTTCTGTTCCATCTCTCTTCCTCACCATTATAGATATTTATATATATATATATATGGTATATATATATATATTTCTTTAAGCAGTAGCTTGACATTAAGGGAAATATGCTCATTTTCTTTCTTGCTGAGATATCACTCCCATATCTGTGTGCCCTGTGATCTCCATTCAGAACAGTCAGCTGAAAGTCCATGAATCTTCATGTAAGCAGACATCCAGCTGTTTCAGACGTCTTGCCTCATATGATTAACATCCGTCACATTTTCCTGACAGGGCAGACAGATTTGTGAGCAGTTTTACTATAATTTTGTGACCTAGTTGCAGCAAATTCAGAGTCTTTTATTGAGTATGCATTTGGCACTGCATGTCTAAGTATTTTTCATTCTTTATGGATATGGATTATGATTTAATCTGGTCATTATGTGTAATTTATAACACTTAAATAATTGTTTTTCAGACCATTACTTGCACTTTCTGCTTGCTGAGAGAGAGCAGCTTCCAAATTTCTTGTGGGATGGGGTAATAGCTCAGGACTCATGCAGTAAAAGTGGGAAAGTTTTACCATTACCAGTCCTGAATAGATCAGTGAGGGAGGTAATAGTAACAGAAAACATCATCATTCCTGGTTTGGAAAATGTCTTTGTCATGGAAATATTACCAGCAGTAAAAGGCACATGAGCAATTTCAGACAAGTCATGAATGTACTGATGTCCATGTCTCAAGCTATCAAACACATGTTCATCAAACACTTGTTACCATGTCAGTTTTCACTGGGCCACAAGGAAATGGGGCATTAGTTTTGTGTTTCCTGTCCCTCCCATCACTTTGTGAATTTTTACAGCTGGGTCTCGATGTGCTGTGGTTTAACTCTTCATACAGAGAGCGGTCTGTTGTTTAGACAGTAATTTTGATTTAAAAATGGAACAAAGACTATGAGTGTTAGGAGCTGCTTTTAAGCGTTAGTTTGAAGGTGTTTACATCCATATTGGCTCAACATTGTGGGAATTGTATCCTATAAGTGTCCTCCTGCACCACTCAAAAATTGGTCAGGGTTTGTAAAGTGGACACAGAGGATACAGAAGAAATTTTCCCCACACGTTCAGCAAAATACAAATTTTTCCCCCCACTTTTTCCAACATTAGTGCTTTGCCTTACATGGAAAATGCAATCTGCACATCAGGATTTGGCAGCATTTATGTCTGTCACTCATGGGCGATGTTGTTATTTCTTTGCTAACATGACAAGCTATTAAAATGTTACCAGCCAGATGTTCATGTATCTTAGAAAATGTACAAAAACACCAATGCAAGAAATCCCCTTTGACAAAATCCATTTTTCTGGAGGCTGCTGGAATAGGAGCTACCTTGAAAAACAGTTCGGGCTTCAGTTCTTGATATTTTTACTGTGGCACTATCTTCAATTATTCATAGCTACTCCCCATTTTGAATGTACTCTATGTCTGTGATGCTTAACACTTGAAATTCAGCCAGAGGAATAAACCATCTTGCAAACTGCAAAATATTATTTCTCAAGTCCATCATTTCGGTCAGCCTTTGTAAGACTTCACAGCAATCTATATCTCGGGTATCATAGTGTTTTAACTCACCACTACTCTCCAGCAGTGTCGCCATGTTGGATGGAAGGAGAAAGTTTCTGTCTTGTCTTCTGTTTGTCTCCTGTAGTGCAAGAGATCAAAGACAAGTTAGTTAGTTGGAAAACTGCTAACAGTAGCATACAATAGTATCATGTTGTAAGTTGTTGACCGTCAAATCTTTCATTTTAATTTAACTCGATTTGTGGCAACATGTCCAGACGAAGCTGCTGAAGTTTGACATTAGTGGTGGTGCCACAGAAATAGATCACATCATCCACTATGATTTGGAGGGAATATTGTTGTATTTGTCAGTGGCTCAGTAAAGAAACTGCTGTCTCTTCTGTCTGTGTGTGTGTGTGTGTGTGTGTGTGTGTGTGTGTGTGTGTGTGTGTGTGTGTGTGTGTGTGTGTGTGTGTGTGTGTGTGTGTGTGTGTGTGTTGGCGGAACAATGTGCATGGAGAGAGCTGGCATGATGTCCAGTGTCTGGAGTCCCTGTTGAAGGAATTTGTCACTGCACCGACAGTTTATCAGCTCTGACAGAAAACTGCTGGAGAAGCTGCTGTTCTTCAGTTTTTTAGTGTTTCTTTAACAAAACCAAACGCACAGTCACCATAACCATAAACGTAGGGTAAGAAACTTAGCGTGTGTGTGATCTAGAACAAAGGTCAAGAATGTATTTAAATCAAGTAAATAAAATCTCATTATGGAAATGGTCAGGACCAATTCCCTGTAAGCCTTATGTGTCTGTGCAAAGTACAAGTAGTATGGTAACATCAGTTTACATCAGATTAATAATTCATCAGATTGTTGAAAAAATATTCCTCCTTGGTGATGAGTCATTGCTTTGCTACTGAACAAAAAGTTTTGTTGACAAATGATAGAACAGATACAGTCTTTCCAATATCTTTGGATTTAGAGAGTTCTTCCCGACCAGGAAACACTGTTAGCAATAACTTTCATTTTATGTGCCATCCTCAAGATATGCTTAGTATATAATGCAGTGCAGTGGTTACTTAATGTGTCTGTGTTATTGTGTGTGATTCACACAGTGCATCACCACATTGAGTGGCAATAGTTTACACCATGCGGCTGCATTAATACCTGAGCAGGTCGGCATAACCACAGCAAAATCACTTCACACTCAGTTCACCAAATTTAATCTCAGCCTCAACATTCATCACTCAGCTCCTGCTCTCGTGCGCAGTTTAAATTGGAAAATATTTAATTATCCATCTCAATATCTTTGGGAATTAAACTGAACTGAAGTGATACTCATTTGAAATAGCTCTTTCCTTCCTCTCACATGTTCCTCTTGAATCACAATGATTTAAAACCTGATCATCGGAACAAAAAGGCTGATGAATGAGTAAATGAATGATGTTACAGTGCATTAGCTCTGCTCCAAGCTTTCCTGACACTGGCCTAGTCACGTATCTGGCTGAGTAAATCCTCTTGTCACTGGATAAAGAAAACCAGAAAGTGGCAGAAATACTACTGCAGTCTTTCTCAGCTGTTAAATATTTAATGCAGCAATTCTGCAGCTCTTCCTGCATTCCCCTGGGACTTCTGTAGATTTAAAGCAAAATGTAACACATTTTAAATTTATTTGCACAGTCCACTGTAGCCCCCACCGCTGTTTCTGACAACAAACTTTTGCATGAGAAAAAGACAAATTCACTCTACTTCTCTACTTTGTGTTGAGATGAAGCAGAGTGACACTGCAAATTTAGAGGGAAGATCATTTTCTCCTTGTGTTTCTAGACACTGTAATGGATAATTTATTCCAAAGGTAACATTCAGAGCCTAGACTGGAATGATCTCTCATTTTCATCCCTTCTCTGCATGGAGAGCATTTCAATGTGCGATTGCCATTTCTGCGCTACTCTGAATCTCCAGGTCTTTCAGATGTATTTTTCCCAGTTTATGTAGTTTTGAGATTAGGCTTGTTAAGCTTTTTGTGTTTTTGTTTGTCTGTCTGCTCAGATATTTGGACATGAATTAAAGGAAAAGGGCTACTTGCGCTTAGGTGGCTCACCTGGTAGAGCACATACCACACGGGCTAAGTCCCTACCGCAGCGGCCATGGGTTCGAGTTCGACTCATGGCCATTTGCTGCACGTCATCCCCTCTCTCTTCCTGTCTCTCTCTTTCTCTCTCTCACTTCACTGTCTGAATAAAGGCAAAAATGCCCAAAAAATAACTTTAAAAAAGCGCTACTAAACAGTTTACTATAAACATGCAGAGAAAAAAACAGAACAGAAAAACAGCAGCAGAACCATTACATTTGGAGAGAAAAGTATTTTATAAATTTGAAAAATGCATAGTCAATGATGTCTACGTTATTAAATTTGTTATTTATGTTTTTTTTATAATGCTTCATGGAGCCACAAATTAAATCATCCTGTTTCCTTTGAGGATATATCATTCGCCTACATTCTCCACAGAATTTAAACTGTAGTAAAAATGTTTTTAGGTGTTTGATAAAACAAAAATGTCTTACCAAGTCTATAAAAGTTGTTCATAAATTGTGAATTACAATGGTACAGTTGTACAGAATTTTCTTACTGCCCTCCCCTCCCTCAATATTCATTGCTGAAGTTCCCTTGAGCAAGTTACCTAACGCCCCCAATTGCTCTGCAGGCGCTGCACCACATGCCCCTGGCTCCTCTGTGTGTGTGTGTGTGTGTGTGTGTGTGTGTGTGTGTGTCTATGTGTGTATGTGTTCACGACTCCAATTTGGGTTAAATGCAGAGGTGAATACATATTTGGACAAATAAAGAATTAACTTGACTAACTTCGATCAGCACCAATGTCTCTACTGCCGATATATCTCATGTTGTCACATTTGTATCAAAATAAACATAATAACAGCTCACTGGAGGAAACAATGAGTCGTGGTATTTCTCTCCACTGTGCAGCTGACTGAAAGGGAAGCCTTCCTGCCAGAGACATGAGATCACAGGTTTCCACACTCTAGTCCTTTCTGCTCTCCTCTGCCAATTCTGCTCCAGTTCATCTTAAGGAAAGCTGCATAGTGCAGGTTGAGGCTTTTCTGGGCTGAGCAGCTGGCTGTGGGCTGCATGGATATCATCTTGGCTAATGACTTTGTGCATAATGTTGGCTATCACCAATGCCTACAAAGTGTTAGAGAACTGCCTCAAAAATGCCTGCACATCAGTGGCACCATCCCTGCTCATGACAACCTGTAACTAGAGATAAACTTTCATATATTAGTTGTTTCCTTGATTGTAGCCTCATCTGTTTTTGCATGTCCAAATATGGACTGTTGGATCAGCTGTTGTTACCTTGGTTGCTAGCCATGTTGCATTCACCACTGTCTGGTACTGGTAACTGATAAGATCCAATCAGGAGGCGAGGCAGGTGTGCAGGTAAAATGGGGTTCCAGAAGTATCCGTTTCAGGGCTCGAAAACTCCGGAGTGGTATGGACGTCAGGAGTAAACGTAGCAAAAGTGATGCGGACAGCCTGCTAGCCTACGCTCATGGCATTCATATTACAGGTGTCCCTTTGAGTGAACGCGGGCTAATGTTAATTGGACGGAACGGAGGCACGTGAGTGAACAAAAGGTAGTATTTTTTAAAGGGACAGTTTATGAACGCACGCATTGGGGAAGTATAAACAGAATTAACCGAAATGAGCAGGATTAAGTCGGCGAAAGGTTCTAAATATCGGTTTTGATACTTTTTGGGTTAATTTTCCACTCCTACTAAGTAACTCAGTATTATGTATCTGTCTCACAGCAGTTGGTTCTTTACCTGTTTGATTGAGAAAGAACAGCATGCAATTCAGTGGTATGAAAATATGTTTACTGTCGTCTTTTTCAGTGAAGTGATGACAGTTTAGCCTATTCTGTAGTATTACACTTTAAACATGGTTAAACTGCACACCAAAAGGGGAGCAGAACTTAAAACTGTAGTTTTACTCCCCCCCCCCCCCCCCACCCCGCCCACACACAATCACACACACACACACACACACACACAAAAAGTTATTTCGCTTTCCATACAATAAAAAGTAGTAGGCTACCATGCATGTTCAGGTGATACAACTGCAAAGGCATTTAGGGGAACAAAATGGAAACTGACTCCTAACTAAAAGGAGGCATTGTTTAACTCTGCGGTATTGCAACCAAGAGACCAAGCCACACGAATTGAACCATGTGGCCTATTCAGAGGGGCAAACAAAGAGGACGTCTTTACTGTATGTAGAAAGAACATATCAACCGTCAACCATTACATGTCCTTCTTTTGTTGTTATATAAATGGATTAACACCTTTCCCACCTTGTCTAATTTGTGAAAATTATGTATTCAATTTGAAAGATTTAACACATTACATATAGAATTCCCAAGCAAATCTTCCATAATATTCCCAATCCACAACACTTAGCCTACACATTTCTGAAGACACATGGACATTCTTTTATCTGTTTATTTTCCTACCCATTCTCTCTACAGTTGTGTGAAACAGCGCTGTCCCATGGCTACCTGCCAGCAGTCTTCAACCGCCGCAGCCACAACAGCACCCCGCTCACCACCCTCAAACTGCAGCAGTTTGGTGACCCTGCGGATCTGCGCGAGGCTGTGCGCTACATCCGCTACAGACAGCCTGCAGGAAGACTGTACGCAGTGAGCGAGAGCAGCGGGTCGGGCCTTCTCCTGTCTTACCTGGGGGAGTGTGGATCATCCAGCTATGTGACGGCGGCCGTCTGCCTGTCACCCGTGTTCCGCTGCCAGAGCTGGTTTGAGAACGGGCTGTGCTGGCCCCTGCAGTGGGCATTGGTGCTGTACCAGAAGATATGTCTCAGCAGGTACGGAGAGGGTGGGAAACATGCTGACATGAATCAGTTAATTTATGAGAAATTGGAAGGAAGCATCCTGGGAACAAGATTTCACTGGTGATGAAAACAGAAAGAATGAGTTTGCTTTACTTACTACTGTTTGGCTCTTATTTCCATAGTTTTGGCACCCATTTGTAGGCTATTAGTTGTGATAACACTGTACTCACTCAAAATCTTTGATAAGATCTGGAAGCACAGCATCAAAGTGACAAGGCAGAAACAACAAACTGTCAGAGGTTCAGACAGGTATAAGTCAACTGTTAAATTAGCTGAATAAGAGGAAAACTCAAAGTGAAAGTGAAATATCATTCCCCCTTACACAAGAAAACGGTATGTCAAACTAAAAGCAGTAAGTTGTTTTGCAAACCACGTTTTTCTGTCTGACATCTTTTTAGTGATGTTGCCTCATTCCCAGATGTCAGCAGTTAACTTGAGTATTTATCAATAGGAACTGAAACTATGAAAATATCATGAAAATTGACTTTTTTCATTAGGTTAATGTTTTTAATTGGTAACCTGCAAGAATATTACAGTGTTATAGAAAGTGTAAAAGAGTATAATGAGTTTTGGAACACAGAAATAGGGAAATAGTTCATTCTCTTTCAGTTTACTCTGGGGAGAATAAGTGTTCGGAAGTTGAAAAAGAAAACATGCTTCATAACGCTGCTGCATGAAGTATGCAATATGAAAAATTTGAATTCTCAGTCAGCCAAAAGGGAGGCATGGTTAAAAGGAGATTGCCATAAAAACAAGTTACAAGATACAAGTACTCAGTAAGCATTTATTGGACAGGCACAGACAATTAAGGAAAAAGTCAAGTTACTGTAGCAACACATGGCCTGCTCAGTGTCAAGTCATTGATTCTGAGAGACATTGTGACCCAGGTAGAGTTTCTCAAATCAATGTCAATAGGGAATATGAGACCCATGCAGCTCTTCAGAATTGATTTACTGATTTCCTCTTGTGTGTGTGTGTGTGTGTGTGTGTGTGTGTGTGTGTGTGTGTGTGTTCCATTTTGTGCAAATGTGTGTGTACTGGGATGACATTCATAGGTACAGGACGGCGCTGGGTGAGACCATACAGACGGACACCCTGTTTTCTAGCTGTTCTCTACGTGGCCTGGAGGAGGCGCTGTTCTGTCAGACTGGACATATGGGCTCTGCACCAGCATCAGCAACAGGGACCAGCAGTAGCAGCAATACTTCAGGTGCCTGGGAAGCTTACTGGGAACGCAACGAACCCTTGAGAGATGTGGACGAAGTGGCTATTCCTGTCCTGAGCGTGTGCGCTCAGGATGACCCAATCCGCGGTGACACCCAATCCACCGTGCCCTTGGAACTCTTTGAGACCAACCCACATTTTTTCCTCCTCCTAACTGACCGTGGAGGCCACTGTGGTTTCTCCACCCAGTCAGAGGGGAGTGCTGCTGGTGCATTAGGCGCAGTCGGTCCTGTGGTTGCACCAAACAGTTGGATGGAGAGCCATGGGACCAACTGGAGCCACAGAGCTCTGCTGGAATTCTTCAGGGCGACCACAGACTTCTTCGCTGCTGAGGAGAGAGCAAAGCAGCTTGCTGCGAGGAGGAGGGGGCTGGGGGGAGGTGCAGGAGGGAGAGTTTTCCGCCACCGCAGCGTCAGTACATGTAAAAGAGTGCCAGCGTGTTCCCATAATATCCATGCCATTTACAGTTGGCAGAGGTCCTACACACGATGAGGGAGCTTAATGGAAGTTAATGGACTGCACTGATGCTTTCTGATATTATTTGGATTTGAGATGTGAGGCTCTCAGGTTGATCTCTGCCTGTGTGACACTCAGCCACAAAGTCTTATGATAACCAAAACTAGAAGAGTGAAGAGGTTGTAAAAAGTATGTGTTGTTCTCACACACTTGATGTGAGCCATAAAACACTAGGACTGAAAAAAGATCATGACAGTCCATAAGCTTGAATGCAGTTGTTTCATCAAGCTGCTGAACACTAAACTCTCGAGATGTGTGGCTATATATTTTTCTATGGACTGATTCAAGTCTCTTCACTGCCAGCTGTAAAAACTGAAATGTTCTGTTTTATTAATTCTGAGTTTTATTAACACACATTCATTATTGATGCATCAATTCATCTGTCTCACATTTTACACAGTTTGCTACATTTACAACCACAACTGCATCGTCATTTGGGAAATTTGAAACCTCAACACTTAGTGTAGCATCTTTCTGTTACTCTTTTTATTACTGAAAGGATATTTACCGGGAAGTAAAAGTGTTGAAAGTCTTGTGCCTAGAGTAGGAAAATAAAATCCAGTGAAAATTCCAAATGACTTTGAGCTAAATGTCAACTGAGTTTAATGAACTCATGCAGTGTTATTGTGCACATTAAAGAGAGTTTACTGTGTATATTATCATTAAAGGTTCTCTTCTTTATTGAGAAATGGCCTGCGGTTCCCAGAATAAAGGAACTTAAGTGTGATTGCCACCCAGTCAGATTTTAGAGGAAAGTCTGTGTCATGAGCTTATGATATTTTAATGAGCTGGGTGGCTGGAAGCATTTTGTGAGTTTTCCTGTCTCATCATTTAAACTCTGTGCTCCAAGGTTTCCCTGGCCCGGCCGCTCGGGGTCTAAAGGTGGTGAAGCGGTGACAGTGGGTGATTTTGCACTGAGATGAAGACTTAGCGGCATAGTGTTGTTCGAAACATTTCTGGAAATTTTGCTTTAAATGTTGTTATTTCGGTTCATTCTTGCGCATTAAGATAATAAATTATACAAACAATGATACAAAATAGTGTTGGTGCTCAGAAAAGAAAAGGGCAGTTCAACAGGTTCATAAAAAGAGAAAAAACTAAGACGCAGTAAATTTATAAACATGCTACACACGTTAGATGGGTTACAATATGTGACAGAATAAATAATGAAATGTATAATAAATAAGCTAAGATGACAAACATGGGATATACACATGTTCTGAAAAATTACACTGAAAGGTCATCTTTCACTTCAGGTAAGTAAAATCCTCATTAACACACATTGTGTTTCTCATTATCTCTGATACTTGTGTTCATTTTTCAAGCACTCACTGAAGTTGTGATCTGCGGTCTTGTCGTACCCCTACTGAGTCAATGTTCAGAGACATTCCCTATTATAGTACAATCCCTACAGCCATTCCATGCTGTGTATGTGTGTGTGTGTTTGTGTGTGCAACAGTCACTGTAGTGTTTGTCCGCCCACTGAGCCTTATCCACTCAGACAGCTGGAACATAGCAGTGTACACAAAGACACACACAGAATGCGTGCCAACAGACACATTGTCAACGCACATCTCCACAATTACACACACAAACACAAATGCACACATAAAACACACACGAACATGCACACGAGCTGTACATGCCGGATATTCTTATACATGCTCATTATTCACAGAAAGATTCACAGTCTCAAAGAAAACAAAAACTGCCCGTCACACACACATTGTGACATCACATCTATACAACACCATTATTAATGTAGACAGCGCTTCCATAGAAATAACCTGAAGTGATACCAAATAAAGTCTGGCTCTTTATGAACTCAAGTGAAATATAAAGTATGTGGATGAGTGGATGTGGAGGTGTGGAGGAGTGGGGGATAGAATCTGACCTGGTTTATTGCTGCTGATGTAAAACTACACAAGACCGACTGACATACCAAACAAGGTTTGAAATGTAGCACAGATACCATTTATAGCCAAATATACTGTAAGTAGATTAAGTAAGTAAGTAGATGTGTATCAGTGCAGGGCAGAAGAAGAGTTTCAGTCTTTGCAGAGGCACTAGCTCAAAATGCAAAGTTTCATGAATTGCAAAATATGCAGAAATGACACAGATGGGTGGCTGTCTGTCTTATTAGAAAGTATCTTAAAATGCCTGATATCCGTAAATACTGTACTGTTGGCAAGTAAAGCCTGTGTAATAATTGCATATCTTATCACTGGTATCATAAATTGTGTGCTTTCTCTTAATACTTGGCACACAAACATGTCTTTCAGTGTAAACCACATTAGTTTGTACACAAATTATACAGTATATCTTTATGATTTAAAGAAATGAAACAATCACTTTGTCATTTATGCATTTCTAACATCAGTTTATTTTTTTATTTTTATTTTTTTTTGTGAATTCACGTTTTGGTACTCCTATCTAGGACATTAGTTTATGGCTTGATGTTGACATTATTAGACCAAACAGTAAACCTGTGATTAGAAAGGCAAGTCCTTGTTTCTGGAAATAAATCTGGGGAGCAAATGCTGAAAAAGAACATGCAAAAAAAGGGCTTGATACAACCTGTCCTGTCCTGTTTTGTTGTTGACATTAAGGCTCATAATTAATGACCAAAAGTAGACAGTGTTGCCTTGCAATAAACGCTGGCTTTCATTGGCCTCTAGCAAATTAAGCCATTAAGATTGAATTGCCCTTTCCCACTTTGCTTTTTCAATTCGGAGCCAATAGTCTGCCTCAGTGATCAGAGTCTGATTTAATTAAAATGATTGATATTTAATTAACAAAGAACCTGACATTCCCATTGCTTTGATTGTACTAAATCATAGGTTCTCTAAATTGAGCCTCATGCTTTGTTAGGCATTTGTCGAAGTGGGAGTTGATGTGTGTATCATCCCATACATGCACAGTGATTACTGCATTAGACTCTCAGTGTGAAAATGGGAAATGGGAGACTGGTTAATCTAAACATTTATTTAATAAATATACAACAGAAAATTCATAATTCAAGTGAGAACCAGATTTAGAGTTGACAACATGAAGTGAAAATGTATTGTTTTGTTCCATTGTTGTTTCTGACTGTTCCTTTGGGAATATCTGGGCCTGTTAAAGCGAGACTATGTCATTTTTGAAAAACAAAAATAACATAATCTTACAAATGAAATGCTGATTTCATCTGCAATTAAATGCAGCCTCTTTCAATTTGATGTCCTACATTCAGGGGTTTTGCTGTTACTGACCTATTGGTCTGGTATGACCAGTATCTTAGGGTGGCTAATTTTATCTTACATTAGCAAACTTAAGATAAATATTGCTGTGTAACCGCCATTGCTTTGTCAGTTTGTTGACTCTATCCTCTGTCCTCTATTTGTGCTACTTCTTTTAACATTTACCATTATCACATAACTGCCACTTGTTGCCACTGTTCAGAAAAAGTTACATAGTTCATCATTTTGGAAAATGTACCTATTGATGGTGAAGTGTAAGTAGGTTGTGCTCGACCGTATCTTTTAGCCTGGAGCAGTATCTTCCTGGAGTCTCCGCTGGTTTCCAACCTCTAACCCCTAACAGTTCAAATGAATGGTATACAGTTGTAATCAGTGAGCTATAGAAGTGCTGGTGGACAAAGAGCCAGGCAAGCCGTTTCCCCTGTTTCCAGTTTTTACCCTAATCTAAGCTAACTGGCCCACTATTTAGCACACATTTAGGATGGTATCAATCCTCTCTGCTAACTCTCAACAAGAAAGCGAATATGTTCATTTCCCAAAATGTCAGAATATTCCCTTGATACGTTTTCTCTTATCTCTGAAGGCCAGTGTCTCCACTGAATGTGTTTACACAGTCTATGATGTCAAGTGACTCACTGAGGCGTAGCGAGTCTGTTCTGTTTTCAGCACTGACCCACGCGGGAAATCTGTTTGGGATCAAAAAGTTTCTGTGCAAACAGGAACCATCTCCCCAAATAGTTTCTGGAATCTATTGTTAACATGTTGTTAGCATGTTTCCTTCCCTACTGAAGATGTACTGTATCTTTTAGCTGGTGAGGTCAAAGATTTTACTTATCTGTCACACAGAAAATAGCAGGAATGCCTGGGATTTTGTACAGTTGCTTTAAAGATATTTTAGCTACAAAGTATTACGTTATCAGCGTCTCAGCGCCAAAACAACTAAATGTGATCAGAGCAATCCTAGCAACCAGCAGGCCAACAAAAATAGGAAACAGATGTTTAGCTTTGGGTCACTGACACTCTAATTGTGCTTGGTTTGGATGATAATCAGCAAGTGAAGAATAGGAGTGTTTTGGTGTTTCTTTGTTGGCCCTGCTGCTCTGTAAGTATCCAAAAAGAGTTATACAGTACAGGGGCAGTGTTTATAGTTGAGGACTTCTTGTTTACATGTGGGTACAACTTAAATAAAACACCAGAGATAAAGTAACACAACACAAGTCCTTCTGCCGCTCAGAAACTTAGGCTGAATTTTTTTAAGTGTTTTATAAATCCCAGTTTTCTGTTTACTGTAAAAAGTTTGATCCACTGTGGTATTTAGATTTTGCTTGCTGTCAATTCAATGTGACATGTTGGTTCTTGGCGTCAGAGCTCATCACAAAACACATAAAAAACAAGAATATACTGACAATGAATAATGCTTCATTTTGGTAATAAATTTGAAACCACTCACCTTTCTTTTGAGATTCAAGGGATATTAACTCTTTGACTAATACATAAAAAGTCTTTTGCACTATCAATATTTGATTAAATGTAAGGCTGTAAAATATTTACAATACACCTGCAGTATTTCTAATGTAATGTATTTACCGCAACATGGTTCATTGGGATTATCGAGTGAGAACCTCCCATGATTAGGTTACACAGCCTGAGAATGCTGACCCTGCGGGGCTGAAATGGTCCAGTCAGCTGTATCAGAAAAAGGTCAGCTTTATTACCTCTTAATATATGAGTAAAAGTGTACATCATCTCCAGTTAAAACAATATAAAAATTTCTTCCTGTTGCGATACATATTTGGGTTTTGGACAGGCATTAATTTCGGATGTCGTTGGGATCTATTACCTTCTACAAAATTTCCATTTTGTTCTCTTAAAAGAAATATTTAATGAAGTGTAGCAATGAAAAAAATAAAAACCCACTGCCAATACAACTGGAGATACCCAGCAGCAAATAACTGTGATCATGGGCACCATCTTGTGGGTGTTTGGGGGAAAGGTGTGGATCTGTCATGTGAGTGAGTCTTCAGTTCACATTAAAATTGCGGTAATGTTTTACTTCAAGTCCCTCTATTTAGCATTTATAAGCAGTGTTCAAACATCTACTGTATATATAATATAATGTAGTTGCAAGCAGCTACAAGGACATTTCGAGTATTAATTAATATAAAGTATTACTCTGACTTCTCCATTCCTTCTCCTATCATTCATTATCTGTTTACACAGCAGCCTCCACTCACAGGTGCCCACAGGAGGAGATGTAGATGTTAACAAATTCATTAATAATCACTTCTATCTGCTTTATAACTACATTATAGTGTGTTATATCCCATTTATTAAATGTTTATACTTTTAAATCTTAAATAGGAGGACTTAAAGTGTCAAAATGTGGTAATAATTTAATATATCTTTTAATTATTTTAGTTGCGAGTAT